GCATTTCTAGAGAGAGGCGGTCCATGCGTTCAGTGCTGCTGAGGAATCAGGTCAGATGAGGACTGGAAACTGGCCATTGGGCTTTCAACATGGCAGAGGTGGAAACCTTGACAAAGGTAGTTTCAGGGAATGGTGCCAGGGAAAGCTGGTTTGGAGTGGGATGAAGAGAGAACAGGAGTAAAGGAATTGGGGGCCACAGGTCTGGGCAACTCATTTACAAAACTTTGCTCCGTAGGGAACAGTGAATGGGTGTGTAGGCTGAAGGAACTGTGGAGTTAAGGAGGTTTTTCTTTTCCTACCATGGGAGAGATTGCAGTGTATTGCCAGAGCTGTGAGCACGTGTGCGTGAGAAGGGCTGGACTCCAGCATGCAGTTGAAGTGATTGGTCATAGACGGGAGCATGGACCTTCATCCCCAGGGACAGGAGGAAAGGCAAAGTATAGAGTACGAGGCAGGTGGGCAAACAGGTGAGCATGGACATTCTCTTCTATTTTCTACAGAAAACAGGAAGCAAGTTTTCACCAAGAGTGAGGATAAGGGAGAATGTTTGCAGGGTTGAAGAGGAAAAGTGAAATGGTCATTCAGAGCATGAGAGCTGAGTGGCAGTGCCGGCCTGCTTCAGTCTGTGGTCAATGATCTCAAGTGAATCACTCAGGGTGATTTTGTGGTTTTCTGTAGTGGTGTGGGCCATGGAGTCGAGTGGGCTCTTACCAGTTTTGTCAGGCAAATGTGATAACAGGAGAGAGGGACAAGTTTGTAGAGGGAGGGGGAATAATGACTTGACCAGGGTCTTTTTACCTTTAAGCCACCTATCCATCTACTCATCCATTCATCTGTCTACCCATCCATCTTTCTATCCATACAACTTTTCATCTACCCAGCCATCAGTCTTTCCATCCATCTATCTATCCATCCATCCATGTATCCATCCATCCACCCATCTGTCCATTGGTCTGTCCATCCATCTCTTCATCCACCATCCTTCCATTCATCCATCCTTTCCTCCATTCATTCATCCATCCATCCTCCTACCCATCCATCTTTCTATCCACCCATCTTTCCATCTTCCCACCCATCCATCTGTCATTTCATCTATCTATCCATCTGTCCATCCATCCATCCATCTTTTCATCTGTCCATCCTCCCACCCATCCATCCACCTAGCCATCCATCCATTCATCCATTGGTCAATTGGTCTGTCCATCCATCTCTTCATCTACCATCCTTCCATTTATCCATCCTTCCATCCATCCATCCACCCACCCACCCATCTGATGTGCATTGAGACTCTTCTGAGTGCCGCAGAGTGCTGTGCTGAGAACAGAGATGTGGGGTTGGAGGGTGAGTGAATGGCCTCACTCCCTGGGAATTCACAATCCCCTGGGAAGCCAGACGTTCACAAGCTGCTCTGGAACAAGGCCATCTGAGATGAGCCCCCAGCCTGGCACGGGGACTCCACTCAGCTCACGCTGCAAAGCCCAGCCCCTCATTGCCTCTGGTCCCAGCAGACTGGGGAGAAAGGAAGAAAAGGAATGTGACAGACACTGGCTGTGCAGCCCTCTGTGTGCTGGGCATTTATAAACCCCCTCAGGGTGGACCTGATACCCTCTGCTTCTATATCCAAGTCTGCTCCGGGGGCTCTCAGCCCGGGCTGCACATGAGAACCTCATAGGAAAGTTTGGTTGGGAATTGACTCAGTAGCCCTGGGGTGGGACCCAGGCATGGGATATGCAGCCAGGGTAGAGCCACTCGTGAGACCACAGCCACCTCCAGCATGGGCATGGAGGAGATGCGGGGCAGGGGTGTCAAGAATCACCTCAGAACCCACCGAATCATGCTAGCTAGCTTTTATTCTGCACTTCCTCTTACTGGGGCACCCGATGACCACTTGCAGATGGGGAAATCTATTCAGAGGATAAATGGTCACCTAGGTCCACCCGGTGGCTAAGAGGGAGCCCATCCCTGTGCAGTCCGAGGTCTAGACTCTGTCACCTGGCTGTGAAACCTCACAATCCTCCCAGGACCCTCCCGTGAAGGGCCACAGTTCTGCACGAGGGGCAGAGGGGTAGGTTTTGGAGCCAGGCAGCCTGTGCCCTATCCTGGTTCCTCCTGAACTAGCCTGACAAGTCACTTAGTCCCTATGCCTCAGTTTTATTAGCTGTGAAATGGGGAAGTGATAGTGTCCACCTTGTTGGGGTTGGAGGGGGATTAAATGAGTTAATGTCTGCAAAGCAGGGAGCACTGTGTGCTCAGATGTGCTGACTTTATCATGATGTCACAAATCTCACAGCTGCCTCCTGCCCACCTCAGACCCTAGCACTCAGTGCCCCACCTTTGCGTGCAGGTTCCCCTGATGCTCTGGCCTCTGCGCTCCAGCCAGGGAACTGCGGTGGGAGTGATTGGCAGCTGTCACTCAGCCCGAATGGGACCCAGGGAAGATGGCACTGGGGACAGTTGGGGCTGGGGTGAGAAGGATGCAGATGGGAGAGGAGCCCCCCTTTCTCAGGGCCTTGGAGGAGGCGGGGCCGCTGGGAAGATGTAAGTTAGTGAAGGTTCTTAATCAAATATTAATCAGTTAATTGATCTCCCAAGGCCAAGGCCACTGACAGCGCCGCCCCGTCCTTCCCTCACCCTCACCTTTCCACACTTCCAGACTCTTCCTCCCCGCCCAGCTCCCGCCGCTTTCCTCGGCCCTTGCCCTGGCCTCCGTCCCTCCCAGTCCTGGCCATCCTGGGTGCTCCTCCACCTCTGCCACAGCTCCCACCTCCCCCGGCCCCTCTCCTCCCTCACCCTGAGCCAAACCCTTCCCCCTCTCAGCTGGGAGGTGGGGGACATCATTGCCCACACATTTGCTAACAGCGGGTAAAGGGGCAATTGGCAATTTGGAGCAATGAGGCAGGAACTCCAGTAGGGGCGTGCATTCGTGTGTGTGCGTGTGTGTGTGCGTGCACATGCATTTCCCTCCTGTTGTCAGGAGTGTGAACACTGCCCCGGTTTCAGTCTCTGTGGAGAGAGGGTGGGACCAGGTGGCTTCGCCGAGGAGGAGGAGGACAGGAGTTCTGCTCATTAGGCCACTGTTCAGTGGTGTCAGGGGTACCCCAGGAGTCAGGGGTGGCGGGCACTGAGACAGCGGCGGCTGCCATTGTGGGGTTTGGGAGGCATGGTGGAGCTGGGCCCCAGGCAGAGAGTTGGGGCCTCAGGCCTCCCGCTAGGAGGGAGATGAGCAGGCAGACAGTCAGTGGGGGACAGGGCCCTGGCCTGAAGGCAGAACACCCAGCCGGGGTCTTTGGCTCATTCACCATCGCCCTCGGGTGACCAGGCCCCTCAGGGCACCTCACACTCTAGCAGTTGATTCGACATCTGGCTATTGTCTGAATTTCTTCTCCGGCTGTATGCAGACCCCAGAAGGGCAGGGGCTGCCCATCCCGCTCTCACTCAGGCCCCAGGCGTCACATCCCCAGACATCGGCTAAACAGTTTTTGGGTGAATAAGAGTAGTATCCAAATGCAGGATACAGCACAGAGCAAGACACAGCATGTTCTCTGGAAGGAGCGCCCATCTCGAGGGGGTGATGGACAAGGAGACACACAGCAGAACATGCCAAGGTTGGTGTGATGCAGGAGCGTGGGAGCACATGGGCTTCCTCCCTCTCAGGGCATCAGGAAACTAGTCCTGAGTGTCAGACCGTCCACATCTGTGCAAGGTCCTTCCACACCAGTGGGCTACTCAAGTGAGAGATGGTACCTGTCCTTGGAGCTGGACACTCTCTCCCTGGGGACACTCTCAGAAGGCCAGAGAGTGATGCACCTGCTCAGAGGTGCCCCAAGCCTGCCCTCCCCACCGGCGTGCATCTATAGTGGGACCCGGCTAGTGGGAAAAGCCGGAACCCCGCCCCTGCCCCACCTCCCCTCTGACTCCATGTCCGTGAGGGACCCGGGGCCCTTCTCTGGGGCTGAGGGACTTTGCACCAGGGCTGCCTTTTATGTGCTCCCTCAGTGGTTCTCACCAGCACCGAGATTGTGGGAGGAGGTCTGGGGTGGGGCCGAGAACCTGCATCGCTGACAAGCTCCCAGGTGATACTGATACTGCAGGTCCGGGCCCCCCGTTTGGAGAACCACTGCCCAGAGCGTGGCTGGGCCTGCCAAGGGTCAGGGCTTCTAAAAGCCCCCGGGGGTGGCTGGGGCCAGCTTCATAGCATCCAGAGAGCACTTTTCCCTCCCGAAGCAGCAGGCCTTCAAGAGGGTGGGAAGAGATCTTCAGGAGATCTTGGGGATCCTCAAGACAGAGGCAGGAACCTACCATGCCCAGTAGACGGCACCTCACCACAGTGGCCACTGTGGGGGCTATGGTGTACCGGGCTCCGTGTCCTGTATGTTCCACTCTGATCCTCTCCCCATAGGCTTTGAGTGCGTATCCTATGCCCACTCCACCCATGAGAAAACCGAGCCTCAACAACCTTCACGAGGCGGGAGGGAGGCAGGTGCAGTTAGAAAGGGCGACAGGAGGGATCCTGGTGCTGCTGGAACGTTCTGTATCTTGACTGGATCCATGCCAGTCTCTGGTGGGATGGCTTCACAAGATGTCACCGCTGGGGGAACTGGGTAGATGGTACAAAGGATCATGCTGTGTTATTTCTTAACACTGCATGGGAGTCTATAGTTATCTCAAAATAAGACAATTTTTTTAAACTAGATGGATTAAAAAAAACCTTTAGTGTACTCAGGTCTGACAAGTGTGTGTAAGTGGCCTCAAACCCTGGGCTCCTTAGAACACCCCCCCGGCCCGGTGGGCACCTCCTCCAGCTCTGAGCTGGTGCCCCATGCTGGGGGAGCCCCAACTTGGGGGCCTGGAAAATGCTGCAGAAAGAATGACATCGAGAGGACAGGGGTGTCTGAAAACCCCCGCGCGGCTAGGACAGCGCCGGGCCCCCGGGCTCTGGGGAGGGAGCAGTGTCCAAGCCGTGCAGGGTCTAACCAGCTTTGCTCTCTCTCCCTCCACAGGGCAACCAGGACACCACGGCTCCGCCCGAAGCGATGGCCCAGCCCTACCCCCCTGCCCAGTACCCCCCTCCACCACAGAACGGCATCCCTGCCGAGTACGCCCCGCCCCCACCGCACCCCACGCAGGACTACCCGGGCCAGACCCCGGTCCCCCCAGAGCACGGCATGACCCTGTACACACCAGCACAGACCCACCCTGAGCAGCCAGGCACCGAAGCCAGCACACAGCCCATTGCAGGGGCCCAGACAGTGCCGGTAAGGGGCCCCGAGACCCTGGAGCTTCAGGGGGCAGTGTCGCCCAGACGGGTGACTCGTGGGGGCAGTGAGGCGAGGCAGGGAGGGACCTCTGTATGTGGAGAGGCAGGCCCCATAGCAGGAGTCCTCGCCCCCAGGGAAGGAGCTCCCAGCCTTGGAACTGTTCATCATCTGACACCAGGGATCTTTCTGGTGGCACCTGCTCAGCCAGGCACAGCGGGGTGGGGCCGTGACCCCTCTTGTAGCCAGGCCTACCGCCTCCAGCTGCCCCCGGCTTCCCTGAGCCACAACTTCAGGCAGACTCTCACCTCATCTGGGAGATGGAGCGTGTCCTCGGCTGCCAGTGACCTGTTAATGGGAAGCAAGGGAAATGGCGGAGACCAGGGCCTGGGCTCACCCCGTGTCATGGGGGCAAGCCGGGAGGGCTGGCGGCGCGGGAAGAGGTCCAGGGCCCCTTAGAGCTGTCTCAGGTTGCGGGCATTCCTATCATTTCTAATCACTTGTAATCTACCTGCTTGGCTGCCCTCCAATCAGATAGCTTCAATTATGTGGTTGTAACGCAGCTCCGAGGAGAAAGTGCTGAGCCTGCACTTCTCAGAGATGTCCTGATAGCAGAGGAGCGTGGCAAGGAGTGGCCGACCTGGGATGGGTGTCCCATGAGAGTAGCCCCCTCTCGGAGACCAGGCTGCTGCCCAGGCCCTGGAACCCTGGCCTGCTCGGTCCCTTTCCCTGGCCCTCTCCACTGCGTTCTCCCTGTGCCCGCCCCTCACCGCTGCTCTGGGTTCATCCAACCGTCCCTACTGGCTCCATCCCAGCGCTGGCTGGTGGGGCTGGGCAGGAGGCCAACATGCCCTGCACTGCCCAGGAGCGGCAGCCTCCTGATGGGTGCTCCCCCGCTGTGCTCCCTCAGACCCCCTAAATCCATCCTGGCTCCCAAGATGCTGTGTGGATCCAAATATTACCCACCCTCCCCATGTGGGCAGCATCATCCAAGCTCTGTGGGGAGAGAGCCCACCCAAGCTGCCTCCTGGGCTGGACTGGACCCTCCGCTGGGGCCCAGCCAGTGCCCTTCCCCTGTTCAGAGTGCTGCCTAGCCTGAGTCTGCTCCGAAGCCACCAGACTTCTCCATTCCTCCAGTGTCCCTGGTGCAGGGTGTCTCCCAAGACGCCCCTAGGGTTCCTACAGATGGAAAAGGTGAGGCCCGCAGGTCCTAGACCTGGGAGCCAAACCATACTTCCCAGGCTTCCGCTGCTGCTGAGTCCTCAACCCCACGAGCTGTGTGTGCTCAGAAGAGAGAGAGGTGGGCGCGGGAGCCAGAGTGGGCTCATGGTGAGGGAGTCACGGCTGGCAGACCGGTCTCTTTCTGAGGGGCCACGGTGGACAGGGTGCATCTGGTCCAACCTCTCACGCCCCCCTCGTGAGCCACGGGGATTCACCCTGGAAGCAAACACAGAAACAAGATGATCAGACCCGCAGATGCCACAGGCTGGCATGATACCCATGGCTGATAGCTGCACCACACCAACGAGCCCGAAGGCTCCCTGACCTGCGCTGCAGCCTCCCCAGGACAAGTGTAAGGCCCTCCTTCCTGCAGCTGACGCTCGTGGGGCACCTGCTGTGTGCCGGGCACGGAACCATCAGTCCCCACCCATCCAGGACATGAGAGTCGAAGGGGAGCCAGCAGCCTCCGTGCCTGTGAGAGTGCTCGCGCTCTGGAGAGGATCCCAGAGTCCCAACTCAGAGAAGTCAGAGTCTCACTGCTGGAGCCCAGTGCCTCCCCAGGAAAGCGCCTGGGCCAGAGAGCCCCCACTCTGGTGAATGGAGCAGCCCGGACCTTCCTTCCTTTGGCCCAGATCTCTTCGGGGTCTGCGGGTCTTCCATGCAGGGCTGCGGAGGGGAGGCAGTTATTCTCCACGCCCCGGGTCCAGACGAGCACCGCAGGCAGAAGTTACTGGATTAGCAGAAAACTCTGAAGACACCCCAAGGTGCCCAGCAAAGACCTCGGCTACGCTGGAGGGCAGAGCGCTCTGACCCTGGAGTATTAATTCAAGCAGAGGCTTCCCACCTCGGGAGGAGCTGGGGAGAGTGACTGATGCCCTGTCCTGCTCTGACACCCCAGGAGCTACCTTCTTCCCAGAGAAGCTGCCCCGGCGCTGCCAGCTGAAGGCTGAACACCTCCATGCTGGCCAGCTGCCCCATGTCCCATCCTTGTGTGAGGGCTCCTTCAGCTCACCCGAGCCCCTCTTGGCCTTCCCCAGGCAGCCTGGGCGTTAGGATCGGGAGGCATGGGGCAGCCGGTGGTGTGGGCTCCCAGCTCTGTCCAGCCCTGCCCTCTCTCCTGTGTGTGGATCCGTATGTCACCATGGCGTCATCTGCGTTCTTTTGACAAAAAGCAGCACAGTGCGCAGAGCGTGGCTGGGGCTGCTGATGGGTCAGGGCCCACCTCGCTACTCTGCAGAGCCTCCAGGGGCACAGTTGGGGACCACCTCCCCAGAGCACTCATTCATTCAAGGTCGTGCGGGTCCCCTGCAGGTGTCCTCCACCCATCTGTCCACCCTGAGTCGTGGCACAGCCAGAGTGGCTCCTCTCGGAAACTGCTCCCACTCTCCCCATCCTCCTCTGGGGCTACCTCATCTTTACAGACGAGGCCCTGCCCCGTGGCCCTCTCCGCGCCACGAGCAGGCGCTGTGGCAGCAGAAACTCCACCAGGAGCAGTGGCCTTTGGTCCCCTTCGCTCTTGGCTCTCGGGGCTTAAGAAAAGGGAAGGAGGTGGACCGTGTTGGAGTGCAGAGTGGAAAGGCAGGTGAGGAGAAGTGTCTGCCCCCGAACCACCCCGGGGTGAGACCCAGCCGTGCAGCCAGATGCAGTGTCAGTGGGCGCCAACACCACAAGTCCAGTGGCCAGCCTTGAGCTCCGAGAGTCTTATGTTGTTCAGAGTCTAAAGTGGACACACAGCTCCACCCGAGGAGGGGGCTGCCCAGCGCCCCCCAGGTTCTGAAGAAGATGTGGTAAATGGACGGCTCAGGGCCACATGCGGGACTGCCTTCTCCGAGGCCGACTCGCCACCCACCAGGGCGAGCTGTGTCGGCCAAGCAGCTGACGGTCCCTGCACCAGTGGCAGGAGGTCTCTGGAAGAGCGAGGGAAAGGGGAGACGGGGCCGCAGAGCAAGGGGATGTCCAAGAGCCACTTCATCTTGTGCTGCATCGGCAAGCCTTGGCTCCGTCCCAGCGACAGGGCCACCAGGTCCTTGCCTTCTGCCCAATTCCCTGCTGGACCCACTGGCCCCTGCCCAGGGCCCCCTGGGCCTCTCCATGTGCTGGGCTTGGAGAGGCCCAGGCGAAGGGGACTGCAGGCTCCTCGGAGGGTGGGAGATGCGCTGGGTGGCATCTGGGCCCTGTCCCTAGCCCACCAGGGGCCGGCTCCTGGCCTTGAAATGGGGAAGGGGGCCCATGTCAGCTGAGGTGACACAGATGGGGGAGGACGCAGAAGCAAAGCCACCGAGACCAGCCAGGGAGGCAAGGGGATGTCGCAGCTGTTTCGTTTTTCCCTGCGTTTGAGAACTGAAAGCAAAGATTGCTTTAAAAAAAAAGAAATCCCCCCCGGAAAGGTGGTGCGGGCTGCCTGGTCCGCCATGGTAAATGGAGAGAAGGCCCCCGTCTCCCCTCGGGGCAGCCTGTGTGCTGTTACACTCTGGGGCACTCAGCGTGTCTCACAATCTTACAGTCATTGAATCATTTATCTGCCTCTGTTGCACTCCGGGCGAGGGAAATGGGGGCAGGGGAGCTCTTACTGGTGTCCTGGCCCCACTCGAGGCTCATTCCACACCACCCCCTCACCCCACTTCTCCCTCCTTGCCCTTGCTGCTCCCCTTAAGGGCCTTTGGGGTGGGGTCCAGAGGGGGGACCCTGGATCTTGGAGACACACAGTGGGCTCAGCCTCCCGTGGCCCCCTGCCCAGGGGTCCCGGTCTCCTCTGAGTGGGAGCTGGGCCGTTCCCATGGTGTTGGCCACTCTGCTGGGCTGACCGCTGCCCTCTGCTGGTCCGAAGCCAGCATTGCATGCCCCTCTCCTTGCTGGATTCCCAAATACAGGTGACTCTATTAGTCACCTGTGCCCAGGAGCAGCTGAGGGCACAGATGTGTGAGATGCACTCGTTGGGAGGTGCACTTGTCTCACTGGGCCCACCCTGACCACTCCACAGAAGGAGCCACACCTTGTCGTAGCCAGAGGGTGGGGCTTGGCCCTCTGCAAGAATCAGCTGCACGGCAGTTCTGCTTTGATTCAGGGGCACAGACGAGCCCTCTGGAGGTCTAGCACAGGCTTGCTTTCTGCGAGAAGGACTGGGACCAAGGAAGGAGGACAGGAGGAGAGGTGGGGAGGGGCTGGGCTGTTGGGCATTTCCAGGTCCCTGGCTTAGTGGGAGGAGCCCTCAGGTGTCCCTGAAGAGCCCAAAGGCAGCTGCCCTTTGGGCAACGCTTCTGTGTTGCCCATCAGGAGTGAGGGCCTGGTGCAGGCCAGACCGGGATTCTCTGGAGACCTGCCGCCCCACTCCCAACCCTGCCAGCTGCCCCTCCCTCGCAAGCCTCCCTGCTGAAGCCCTGGTTCCCATAGAGAGGCTCCTGGGGGTGGCAGTTGTTGGCAAACCCCAAGGCCCAGGTGCTGGGTCACCTACAGCCCACCCTTGTGCACATGTCACTCTCACAGCCTGACGGGAGGGCTCAGAGAACACACAGCCTCAGAACTGGGCCTGCTGCACGTAGGATGGCCAACCTGCTGAGACAAAGGTCATGCGTGTCCCCAGGCGAATGAGAGGACAGTGGCTTCAAACCCACACTTAGGATCATGTGCCGTGTGCTCCCTTCTCGAATAGGAACACAGAGTTGAGGTCTAAGGGACGTTTGAACAGGATGCTCCCGCACCCCCTATAGCCCTCCAGACCGCACTCCCAGCTTGCCGCCCAGAGAGGTATCCTCGGCCTCCCTCACCAGCCTGGGAGCTGGTGACATCTGCTCCCGTCACCTACGGCACCTGCTGCCCTGGAGCCTGGTCAGAGGCCTCCTGGCTGAGCGCAGGAGGGTGGGGAGTGGCCCCATCCTTCTGGAAAGGATGACCAGGATGGCCATCGAGGGCAGCCACTCAGGCGTCCAGAGACAGACCCTGCATGGCCTTGGGTGAGGCTCTGCTCCTCGCTCGAGACCTAGGGCACAGTGGCCTGGCCCTGCTCATCCGTCGTCACTCTGGGAAGCTTGTCATACCGGTCAGTGCTCCTTTGGTTGCTGGGGATGGACACCCACCGGAAAGTGGCTCAAGCAAACAGGCAGCTCCTGGGACCCGTGGGGAGCGCTCTCTGGCCTCTTTCCTCAGCTTTCCCCCGGCCTGTCTCTGCGTTCCAGCCTCCCTCCCACTGCCGGCCAGCTGCCTCTGCTCAGGCCACGTGGGAGACACGGCCACCCATTTGTATAAATTACAGCGTAGGCCTTGGGGGACCCTCCTGCCTTTGCTGTCTCCAGCAATTTCAGAAAAGCTCTGGGAGGCTTTACTGGAGCCAGGGCCTCCCTCATGCCTTCAGCTGGGGTCCCGTCCAGGAAGCAGACCCCAAGACAAGGATTCAAGTCCAAGCAGTGTATTGGGGAGGTGATCCCAAGAAAACCCCAGGAGGGAGTTGGGAATTGAGAAAGGAAAGGGAAAGAAGCAACAAAAGGTGTGTTCTCAGCCCGTTATCCCCACTAGGGACAGTAGAGCCCCCCAGAGGAGCCCCAGGGGAGGGAGCCAGGTATCTGTCCACCCACCAGATCTATCGCCGGCTGAGGGCTGCTCCTAGACACTGACACTGCGACTTTCCTTGCCAATGGGCTGAGCCGAGAGAGTAAGTCTCGGGGCCACAGTCCACAGTTCTGGTATGTCACCGTGAACACCCTGGCATCCAGGTCATGGTGAGCTAACCGGGCACCGCAGTCAGTCAGCCACTCGTTCACCCAGCCAGCGCCAATGGAGCACCTGCTGCTTGCCTTTGGCACTGGTGGCTCAGCAGGCACAGAACCAGGCCGAAGGCCAGCCTGGCAGTGAGCTGGTGCCCATCCCTGGAGAAGTCCCCCTGGACGAGCCTTGCACACTGCCCACCACGCCACGCTGTCTCTGGGCTCATCACGGCCTCGTCCTCACAGGGGCCTGGGAGGGGGGGCCTTGCTTTGTGGCAGCTCTATTTCCTGAGACTCAAGTCTTTTGGAGCCCCTCCCTTGACCAGTGTTTGGGTCCAAAATGAGGACCAGCTATAAAGGACTGGGCTCGGCCACCCAGGCCTTAGAAGAATGCAGCCCCCAAAGGTGTGGAGCAGCAGCAGCGGGGCTGGACTAAGGGGCAGCCCTGGGGTGACCACCGTGGGGGGCAGCACCCTACGGATCCGTGTGCCCGGGTTCTGAAGTCTCCCTGCTTTCTCGTCAGGCTTTGAAAGCCAGAACAGTGCCCGCGTCCCCGGAGCTCAGGCTCTGTCGGGGGAAGGGCAGACCCGTGTCCTCGAGACGGTAATAGTTCATGGAGCTGGGGGACCGTTGAGGTCAGACCCCTGTGGACAGGGCCGAGCTGCAGGGGCAGAGAGCACTGGGCCAAGGAGGCCTTGCCCTGTGGGGTGTCAGGCACAGCCGGGGCAGAGCCTGGAGTTGGGCCCCTTGAGGTCGAGGTGCTGCTGTGCTGTGTCTCCTGCAAATCGTCGGCCCAGGCCCCTCTCAGATCTCAGCCCTGGGATGGGGGAGTCCAGGGGGTCAGGGAGGATCTGGTCTTTAGGCCCTCCCCTCCCCATGGGATGGGAGCCGAGGGTCCACTCACAGCCCGGTCCTCTCCCCGCAGCAGACAGATGAGGCGGCACAGACGGACAGCCAGCCGCTGCACCCCTCCGACCCCACAGAGAAGCAGCAGCCCAAACGGCTGCACGTCTCCAACATCCCCTTCCGGTTCAGGGACCCGGACCTGCGGCAAATGTTCGGGGTGAGTGTGTGCGGCCCCTCCATCCCCACTCCGCCCACGCCCAGCACACAGCCCTGGGGTTTTCTGCCTCCCACTGTCTCCTGGGGCCAGCCCACTCTGACCTGAGCCTGCTGATGGGAGGGAGGGGGAAGGACAGAAGCTCAGGGTAGAGGGACCTGCTGTGGCCGCAGACCCCTGGCCAGAAATCCACCCACCACTCAGTGCCACCCATCCTCAGGGCTTTGTAGGGTCCCCTTGGGGCCGAGGCCAGTGCCGATTACATTATTATTCTGCAGTCCCAGCCTCTGACAAGGGTTCCAGAGACCCCTGCAGCCCTCAGAGGGCACCTGGAGGGGCAGCCCAGCCTCCTGGCCTCAAGCTCAGCAGCACACTTGGCCCCTACATGATGCCCATCAGCTCACCCGGCCCCTCCACCAGGGCAGGCACTGTCATCCCTCTTTTGGCCCTTGGCAGAGTTGGGGTGGCATCACCGTCGGGCTCCAGTCATCTCGCTGCCTGTTTTGACACCCACCTCCCCATGTTGTGAGGTGAAGGGGAAAGCCATCAACTGTACACACCAGAGACCTCAGGACAGGCCCCTCGGGACCTCACTGGCATTTTTGGGGACCTTGTTCACAGGTTCATGGTCTCAAGCGCCAGTAAGAGAGACTGCTTCCCCTTGGGGGTTCTGGGCCAGTGACAGGGCAGGAAGCGGCAGCCGAAGCATCTGGGCCTGCCTGGCTGGTATGCCTTGGTGGGGCAGAGGGGCCTGGGGTCGCTGCTGCTCTGCACCCCACCCAGCCCAGCCCTGACAGCACAGGCAGCAGGTAGTGCAGGGTTCCTCCAGGGCACTTTGTCTCTTCCAGGAGCTCCTGCTCCTTGCCTGTCCATAGCCTTTTACCCTTTAGTGTGAATTAGGAGTGGCTGTCAGTAACGTGGGGCAGAGGCCCAGCAGGGAGAGGAGAGGGACACTGGTGATGCTGCACCCACCCTGTCCCCAGCCCCCACCCGGCTTGTAGGTGGGGCCAGAGGCCTGGCAGGAAAAGCTCTCTCCACGAAAAGGTGGGGAGGGGTGTCCCTGTGTCCCCCACTCCCCCATGCTGCACCGAGAGCCCCCCCTCCTCTTCCCTGCCAGAGGCAGAAGGGGGCCCTCTGGGCTTAAGACCAGACACGGGCAGCAGATGAGGGTCTCCTGGGGAGCAGGCGTGTGGGCAGCAGTCTTAACCCACCCTCTCCTGTCTCCCACCCACCCCTCTCTGTCTTTGCAGCAATTCGGAAAAATTTTAGACGTGGAGATCATTTTTAACGAGCGGGGCTCCAAGGTGGGTGCCGCCCAGAGGCCGCCACCATTACAGCGCCGGCTGTAGGTCCCGCCAGGCTAACGTGTGAAATGTGCGTTTCCTTCCTGGAGAGCTTCGAGCCCGAGGACCCCTGAGCGACACGGGTGCTTGTATTCCCCGCTCCTCCACCCCGCCCCCACCCCACCCCTGTCTGTGTTGTTGCTTCTGCTGCGAGGCTCCCTTCTCTCTAAGCTGCCAGGACCTCTCTGTCTGCACCCGGAGCCGCGGCCCCTTGGCCTGGGTCCCCACCCCCGGAGCCACTCCTCCAGGGGCCGCTGGCCTGCCTCAGAGCTGGCCCAGAGGCTTGGGGAAGGGGCTGCAGGGCGGGCAGGTGGGAGGGTGCCCAGCAGAGACAAGCCTGCTCCCCACTCCAGGAGGGGAAGACACACCCTTCCCCAGGCTCCTAGGGTGAAGGTGGGTGGGGCTGCCCCCGGAGGTCCTGAAGCCCAGCCTCGGCCCCCCATGTGGAGTTAGAGCAACAGTCCTGGCCCCTGGCCAGTTTAGCATCTCTTCTGTAGCTTTCACCTGTCCCCTCGCAGGTGCCAGGCAGTCAGCTCAGGCCAGGCTCAAGCCAGGCCCCCAACCTGGGCCTGTACCCATCCTGGGCATCCTGCCGGTGGCACCAAGACAGACTGAGTCTCTCCTTCAACTCACCTGACTCAACCCCTCTCTCTCCCTCTCTGTCTGTCTCTCTCTCCCCCTCCCCACTACCCTGTCCCCCACCCCCACGCCTCCTTTTTTTTCCTGTTTCTCATCCTATGTCTTTCTCTCTGTGTCTGTCCTTCTCCGCTCACAGGGTTTTGGGTTTGTAACTTTTGAAACTAGCTCAGATGCTGACCGAGCCCGGGAGAAGCTGAATGGGACGATCGTAGAGGGACGGAAAATTGAGGTGCTCAGATAAGTGTGCTGTGGCAGGGACACCCTTGTGAACTGCTGCCTGTCACCCGGGGTCTCCCAGCCCTGCTGCTGCCCGGCAGAGAGCCGGCCCTGGTCCCCCATGGCAGGAAGGCGGGGCGGGGGCAGGGCCACACTGAGGTCAGAGCCGAGCCATCCCCTGCCGCCCCCATGGGTCTAGGCTTCAGGCTCACCCAAGGGCCCCCCTCCTCTGCCTCCTCCCTCTCCTTCCTGGAAGAGGCCCCCAACTGCGGGGATTAGCCAGACACTGGGAGGAGCCCCAGAAATATGTGTTTGAGGCTTGGCAGCTCCCAGGACCCTGGCCAGCCCAATCTGTCCCCCAGTTGGGAGGGGCCATCCATCCCCTTGACTCCTCTCACCAGGGAGTAGCAGCTACCCCCTGCCCTCCCCCTCCCCACGCCACCAGCACCCTGTAGTTTGCCCCCTGCCCTCATCCCCCAGAGGGTCAGCAGCAACAAGTGGCTAGGACCTAGAAAGGGACCCAGACTAGAGGAGCAGCAGGGACATGAGGTGAGGGGCTCCCCCCTGGACACCTCCTCCCTTTCTGCCCCTCCCCCGGTGGGCTGCATATCCCCCGCCTCAATGCTGTGGCTCTGAGTGCTAGGAGCTGGGCTCTCTGACAGGCAGTGAGTGAGGGGTGGCTGGAGAGGGGAGGGGTCAGAGCCCCTAGGAAGAGCGGTGGAAGGGCCTGCGGGGAGGGTTTCCGGAAGCAGAAGGAGTACTGGAGGCACTGACGCCAGCCAGGCTTCCACTCAGCGCCCGGTGGGCACCTGAGGCTGGAGCCCAAGGCCCCAGGGGTTCACACTGAACGTGGGGGAGGCAGCGTGGCCCAGACCCCTTCCTCAGGTTCCACCGCCTGCCCTGCTCTCTGCTCCCTTCCGCAGAGGCTTCCTCCTTCCTCCACCCCTGGCCCCTGGGCAGCGTGACAGGGACTTAGGTGTCCGGAGAGTAGGACCCACCCCCTTGGTGCCCGTCTGCCCCCTCCCCACGGGCACACGCGCCCCATCAGAAAGCTCTGCTGGCCTTGGGGGAATAGGGTGGCCATCTTGGTGCCAACCACTAGGAGCCACCAGGGCAGAGAGTGTCGTGGGGGCTGGTCTGTTAGCTGGGCTGAGAGCACTCGGTGGAGAGCCCACCAACCAGCTTTGTTGCCAATGGCCTTGGGTTGCCAGAGAGGCTGGGGCTTGGTGTGTGGGAACAGCCATGCAAAGGGCAAGACCTAGTGGGCTGGATGCAGTGCCTGAGCCAAGGGCCCGGGTTGGGGGCCAGGCTGGGCACCAGCCAGTGCTGGGAGGAGTGTGGCCAAGACTCCCTGGAGCGGGCAGCACAGCAGAGAGAGGAGGCCAGGCAGGGGGGCAGGCCAGGGTAGGGGGCCAGGCTGGTGGCAGAGGCCGTCCCGTGCCTCCACCTGGGTGCCCCAGGGCCTCCCTCCCGTTCCCCCGGCCCCCAGCCCCTTCCACGGTGGCCATGGAGGACCATGCAGAGTAGGACTGGGGCGGCCAGTGGCCCCCAAGGAGGCTAATGCTCCCCTCACCCTCCTCTCCCTCTCTCCGGGCAGGTCAATAACGCCACGGCCCGAGTTATGACCAATAAGAAGACTGCCAACCCCTACACCAATGGTAAGGGGCCCAGGACGGCCCGGGAGGGATAGAGGCCTGGAGGCGTCCAGGCTGCAGAAGCTGACCTCCCTGGATGCTAAGTGCCCCTCATGTCCCAGCTCTGCCCCTCAGAGGAGAGCTGCGGCCACCCGCCCACACGCACACCCACACCAAGACTCCTGGGCTTTCCCAAGTGTACATGGCACCCAGAGACCACGTGGACAGGCTTCGGGCACAGCGGGATGGTGGCCACTTCGGGGATTATTACTTATTTTCTAAGTGCCGAGGGGAAGCCTGGACTGGTCACGCTCGATATTTAGTGAGTGTGATGACAATTAGAGGGACAGTCGCCGCCCCAGACCTTGGAAACAACCAAAGGTTGAGGCCCCCCAGGGTGAGCCCCACTGGTCCATAATGTGCATCAACTGAGTCGTCCACTTCAAGCACACCTGACCGTAAGCAGAAGTGGCCGGTCTTAGAAGATGAAACTGGTGATGCAGAGAGGTGGCTGCCGGGAGAGATGCAGGGACCAGCAGGCTGCTGTGTCTTAACTCCACCAGGTGACGGGGCTGGTTTGAGTGTAGCTGGCAGCGTCTCAGAACCAGCTCTCTCCTAGCCAAGGAGCAGCAGTCAGGACGAGTCCCCCTGCAGGCGTGGGCTTTGCTTTTCACCCCCAGTGGGGACTGAGTGGACTGAGCCACCCCCAGTCTCTCTTGTCCCTATATGATCAGCCGCACGTGGAGTCGGGTAACGGGCCAGCGAGGGAAGCCTAGGACGGGACAGTGGGTGGACCTGCTGCGTGACCCCTCAGCAGGGCCTCCCCATCTGTCCTCCTGGGGCGGGGCAGGGGCTCCGGCCAGGCCTCATTTACGCGACATTATTGTGGCTCCCATCCTGCTATTTTGAGGACTGTCAAAGCTCAAATTCTTTCTAAAGATCTGAGAGTGCCTGGCTTTGCCAGCGTCCCAAGCACACCCTGGGTGTGACCCTTCTGTGATCTGGTGCTTAGCACAGGAAGGGAAAGCAGCAGACATTTTTATAGGGTCAGGGTGATCATCGGGGGGCTACGAAACCACTGGAGCCAGCTGCCCTCCCTTCACCCAAGAGCCACGCACCCCTGCTTTCCTGGCAGAACAGAGAATGTTGAGGAGCATGGAATTCAGAATGGAATCCATCCCTTAACAACTGCATTCTTGCACGGAATGGGCATGGACCCCGTGCTGGCTGAGTGACAGGGATGGGGAGAGAGAGAGAAACCTCTGCTCACTTCTGTGGCAACAACAGTTTCACTTAAACGTCTTCGTTGTCCTGGGCAAGAATGACAAGGGCTGCAGTGGGCCAGCCCTGGGTCCTCTGGCAGTTGGCAGTAAAGGCCGGCCGGCGGGCTCTGCTGGCCTGGGAGTGTAGCCTGACTTCGCTTACACAGTCCTGAGCACTCGGAAATTCACCGGTTGGTCTGGGGCAGACGTTTCCACCATAGAAAACAAACTCACGAGGTTTGGCCAGGTGTTACTATTTACAGAAGAAACAGAGGTGCCCCCCAGGTGCATCTCAGGCTGCCTCTCTGTCACCTGGGGTCCCAGACAGTGAAATGGCGCCAGCAGTGACAGGTGGAGGCTCCCAGGTTTCCAGGGTTGGCGGGCGGAGGCGCCAGGGCCATCTTGAGCAGAAGTTCAGCCTCCAAGAGCGGATCTGGAAGAGCCACCAGGATGGAACCTGGGGGCTGGGCTTGGGTCCTTGGCTCCAGGACTCGGCTCTCTCGTGGATTTTTACTAAGACGACTCAGTTCTTGGGACTGGAGGTCTTCCCAAGATATGGAACATTTCTTCCCTCCTAACGTGGGATTTGTAGAAGATTCCAGAGTCCCAACAGTAATGTTCAGACACAGACATCTGTGCTGGTGCCGTGTGGTGGTGGATCAGGGATGGAAGGCGGCCCACAGTCTCATGGAGAGTGTGGAGAATGGGCACCCAGGAGAAACAAGGCCCCGGACATTCTGTCCTGTATGCCTCCTGGCTGCCCACCCTGTTAGAATCTGGGTTTGGGGCTCACCCGTGGAGATTGCCACTGATGGCTTGGCCTGCCCCTTGACATGCTCTCCAGACATGTCTCACCAGCTGGCCAGTCTCACTGTCAGGTCCCTTCTGTCTCTCCTCACACAGTGAGGCATGCTGGGAAGATAAGACCCAGGTAAGCTGAGTGGGCCGGGGGCTGGGCTTGGTAGAATAAGCTGTCCCCTGCCCGTGCTACCCGAATGCCTGCGGCCAGAGCCCACTCAGAGCCAGCTGATTTCCACCCCAGAGGCCTCAGGTAGAAGCAGGCCTTCACTCATGCACCCAGTCCCTGGTGGGAGAGGACAGCTGGCCCAGGAACAGCGGGCCCTGAGCCGGCTGACCTACAGAGAGGGAGAGGCCGGGTGCCAATTATAGCTGGGGGCCAGGGAGGGGGCCAGGCACGTGGGTCTGGCATCCGACTGCTGAGTTTGGCCTGGATCTGCCAATCGCCAGCTCTGTGACGAGAGGCTGCTGGGCCTCCCTGAGCCTCCGTTTGCTCATCTGTAAAATGGGAGGATGGGACGCCTACCTCCTTGGGTGGGTTTAGAAGGGTGTGGCACATGGTAAATTGCTCAGGAATAATGATTATTATCATCCCAAATCCAAAGGCTCTTCTTCCCCATGGCTGCTTTGGGGAAGGACGGGGCCCCAGGATAGCAAGAGCGGGACTCGGCACTGGGAAAAGCTCCGTCCCAGGACAGAGACTCTGAGGCAGGAGGTGGGAGGAGGTTGCGAGCAGAGGCCAAGCACCTTTTTGGCAGCCTCTGACCCTCCTGGAAGGCAGCCAGGCACCCACACGAGAGCGCCCCCACGACTGGCTCTGTCCTGTGCTAAAGCACCAGGGCACCAGGACCCCTCGTCCTGGGTGTGGGCCTGCAGACGCTTACATAACGTGCTCCACTTCCCTTCCTAGTTCTCTTCTGCAGAGATTACAGACCCCAAGCTGCTGGGGCTGGTGCCCTGGGGCCAGGGAGGCCAGGGGGAGGCTGGGGAGGGCCACAATTTGACAATCAAGAAGACACCCAGGCAAATGGGTCGGGAGTGACCCGCTCGCTGGTATTTAGGGAGCAGAAGGAGCCCAGCCCGGAGGCTGCAGCATTCCGCTAGGGGCCAGTGGGGGGTCCGGCCAGCTCTCTGCAGAGGCCACCCCCTCAGATGTTCCCAGAGGGCTCAGCCGGGTGTCCCTGGGGTTCCCAGGCAGAGTGCGAGGCGGGGAGAGGATGGGGAAGCTAGTGATTGGGTTTCTTTGCTTTTGTTCTAGGCTGGAAGCTAAACCCGGTGGTAGGCGCAGTCTACGGGCCTGAGTTCTATGCAGGTAAAGGCTGGAGCAGTGGAGTGGGGCTGGGATGTGCCTGGCTGGGTATTGGGAGGTCGTTGGCCAGGTGGCTCTGGGTGAAAGGCCAGGGCCGGGTGGGAGGCGTGGCTGGGGGCGTGTTTGGCCGGGGGCGTGGTCGGCAGGTGTGGACGGGAGGGGCGTGTTCATGTGGGCGTGATCTGGAGGGGCGTGGCCAGGTGTGGCTTCTCACAGGCCTGGCTCCCTTTTCTGCAGTGACCGGGTTCCCCTACCCCACCACGGGCACAGCCGTTGCCTACAGGGGTGCACACCTACGGGGCCGGGGCCGAGCCGTGTATAATACGTTTCGGGCTGCACCGCCCCCGCCCCCCATCCCAACTTATGGAGCGTGAGTACCTGGGGGGCACGGGGAGGGAAGCATGGAGAAAGGTCAGGGGTTGTGGAGAGGGAGGGCTGGGGCAGCCAGAGGGGCTAGGCAGCCTTCTGGAACTGAGGGGGGCTGTGGAAACCTCCAGAACGTCCTACTGTAGTCACCTCCATATCAGTACCCCCACCCCCACCCTGGTTCAGGGAATCAAGGGTCACAGGCATTTAGGGCGACCTTTAATGGGATCGTGGTTGGCCCCTGAGCCCTCCCTGGTCCATTTCCCCGGGGCCCAGTGCCTTCCACTCCTGGTGTGGGGGGACAGCTGCTTGGGGTGGAGTGGTGGGAGGGTGAGCAAGATGGGCCACTGGGCCCCTGGGTTTGTGGGAGAAAGGAGCTGACCAGCAAGGGTGTTACTCTATTGTTATACCAAAACAGGGCACTGGAGCAAACGCTTGTTAAAATGCCAGTCCCATGGGCAGGGCTGGCACCCTGCCCCCTCCCTCCTCAGCAGACACCGGAGCCGGCCTACCCCACCTCTCCAGCGTTCCCACCACTTTCTTGTCCGTTTGCTTCCAGGGTCGTGTATCAGGATGGCTTTTATGGTGCTGAGATTTATGTAAGTGCAGCCCTGGGGAAGGGAAGGGTGGCATCCTGGTGTTCTGTCGGTGTCAATGAGCAGTCAGTGTCTTCCCCCTCCCTGCCCCTCTCCCCCCACCCCACACCCATCCTTGGAACCCAGGAAGGCGAGGGTGCTGTGTCTGCCCAGAGTATTGCATCCCAAGGGACCTTGGCCCAGCTAAACCTGGGTTATCTGGGCTCATGTTGGGAGTAGTAATGGGTCTCCCAGCAGCCTCATGAGCCAAAGGCATGTCTTCTCCATTTCTCAAGGTGCCATATGATGGGGGCAGTGGGTGACTCTCCTATATCCCTAATCACATTGGGGTCACTCAGTGAGCCCCCACAGGCAACCCATGTCCAGTACAGAGGCCCCAAGAGAGACCAGGAGGCAGGGGCTTGAGGTCAGACCCCTGGTGGGGTCCTGTTGCTTCTCCCTTTCTTCATGGGGCCGCTCTTACTGCTTCCTCTAGCTTGGAGCCCTTGCTGACAACCCCGCCCTGCACACACACCTGGCCTAACATAAGACTTCCCTTCCTGGGCAGTCGCCCATAATCCAACGATCCATTTGTGCCAGGGCCACGACGTGTTCTGAGTTAATGCCCTTTGCCCTCGACCATTCCCAGTGTCGGGGATAGCACCCAGAGTCACCCATGGGTTCTCCATTCCCGTTGGCTTCAAAGTCATGGGTGCACTGGCCTGGTGGCAGGTCTGTGGGCACCTATGTGTGCCAAAGCCTCACACACAACCAGACGTACAATTGGTGCCCACCAGCGTGTGTTGAATGCACAAATGGATGTGTGAATGAATGAATGAATGAAGTGGACACCCACCCCTACCTCACCTGGAACCACTCCACTTGACAGTCTGCAGTCTCCATTAGACCAGAAGCTAGGTGCCCCCAGGCCTGCACCTGCTGACCTCACCTGGCCAAGGTGAAGGTTGAAAGGCTGAAAGGTTGTCCCCTCTCCACTAAGCCAAGTGCTTTCTCTCCCTCTGCTTACCCTGCAGGGAGGCTATGCAGCCTACAGGTATGCTCAGCCAGCAGCGGCAGCAGCAGCCTACAGCGACAGGTATGGCGGGGGGCGGGGAGCGGGGCAGGGCAGGGGCGGGGAGAAGATGGATGAGATCCCTGTAGGGCTGGGCTCAGACAGACAGGAAGCCTTACCCACCGCTCAGGGCCTGGGGGTACCTCCACCTGGTGGTGCAGGGTCTGGACAGGAGAGCAGGCCCTCGTGGGCTTGGAGATCCCTGAGCCAGCAAGCCCCCGCCCTCTGTAATCACTTCCTGCTTGCATAACGGGAGAGGCTGTGGAACCCCCCAGTTCTCAGGTAGCAGACAGCTCCTCTGATCCCCAACCCTGGAGGCCTCAAGTGAGAAACATAATTAGGAGCCTTTGCTTCTGCTCCTGGGCAAGCCTCTGATCCTCCTCAGTGCTCCCAGGTCAGAAACCCTTTCGCTCCAAGAAGGAAAGGCAGAGCGTGCCCATCTGCCTCCTCCCGGGGGTGTGACAGGACCAGGTGGGCTGTGTGCACCATTTGAGAGCAGCAGCCTCTGCCCATCTGCAAGCACACCCAGAGGCCGGTGGGTAACTCTTCATTTTGAAGGCAGGTCCTCAAGGGTAGCCCAGGGTCGGGGGGCTGGCCTGGCGCCTCTCCCCATGGGCACTCGGCCTATTGGCTGCAGAGCTCCTGCCTGGGAAGGTGTGCAAGTCCTTGCATCCACACACAGCAGGCTCCGGCCCAGGGACACTTGGCCCTTCCTCGCAGCCTCTGGCTTCGTCTCAGGCATGTGTGGGTTTTGTCAGGTGCACAGCAGGCCCCACAACCCAGCCCTGTCCTCTAAGAAGCTGGTATTTCATGCACAAAATAAATTAAGCCAGAGGAAGGTAATCAAGGGGACACTGCTGCCTCCTTCGTGGCGACGCCCCTGACGCCCCACCCCGGATCTTTCCTTCCTCTCTGAGCCACCTTCTCCGGCACTTTGCCCCTGTTCTTTCTGGGGATCGAGGTTTCTTCTCCCTCCACACCAGCTCTGCAAGGACTCCCTTTTCTCTTCCACATGGCACTTGGGAGCACAGGCTGCCCCTGGGCAGCGTCAGCACACACTGGATATACTGAGAGGGTGGCCAGCCGCGTTCTGGACACTTCCTTCCAAACAGGCAGGAAGGACGGCAAGGAGGGCTGCAGGGGACGGAGGGGCCTTGCAGGTGGGACCACACTGGAGGATGCTCACAAAATGTCTGGGAAGACATGAGAGACCTGTTGCCACCCCCCGACCTGCCCTCATCACCCCATACCTCCCTACCTCCTTCCCTGTGCTCGTCTCCCCAGCTATGGCAGAGTCTACGCAGCTGCTGACCCCTACCACCACACCATCGGGCCCGCAGCGACCTACAGCATTGGGACCATGGTAAGGAGGCTGGGGCCCAGCTGGCCCTTGGCACTGGCAGGACAAGGAGGGCCCGGCGCTGCAACTGGGGCGGGGCGGGCAGACCCTTAGGAGGATGACCCAGGCCTCTGACCAGTGCCTCAGTCCTGGTGCCTGGAAAGACCAAGGCCTGGGTTTGAGTTGGGGGAGGACTTGCCCCATTATGCCCTCATGGAGTCAGAGGGAGGTGGGTTTGCCCAGACGCTCAGATGCCCAGTCACGACGTCTCGTCCTCTGGCAAGCATCCCGGTGTGGCCCAGTTTTCTGAGCTCCATAACTAAGTCCCGTCTGGGCCCTCCATCCCCCACCAGGAAAACCAAACCAAACCTTCCCGGCAGAGGCTCAGAGGCAGGCAGGGCCTCCCTTCCCTCATGTGCGTGTCCATGCCACAGTCCCTCTGTGTCTTGTCCCCACCTAGCCCCACCGTTCCTCAAGTCCAGGAGGAGAACAGGGCTGCCCGCTGTTTCTCACCTGAGCCCCTCTGTGCTCCCTGTGGCCCTGGGCTGGGTCTGCAGGCCCTCTCCTGGGGAAATGGGGCCTGCTCTCCCCCCGTTTCCACCCACGGGCCCCAGAGAGGAGCGGAGGGGCGCCCTCCTGATGGGCTCGCTGCGACCGAGGGGTGCGGGCCAGTGTGTCTGTGTGTGTGTGTGTATGGCCAGCTGTCGACACATACAGCCCAGCTCACTCTGCACCTCAAAACCTGCTTCCAGTGGACACCTATCTCCTGTGCCCACCCTGCCCAACCCCGGGGGTGTTAATGTCGGTTTTTAGCTAGCTTGGCATTCAGCATCAAAGATGAAAACATTTTTGGTGGGGTAAGGAGGGAGAAGGTTCATAGCCAATATGGATTTTTTTTTTTCCATCTCCCTTGGTTTTGATTACTCCCTCCCAATTTTTATTTTGTCTTTTTGATTTTTAACAAGCCTCAGACATTCCACTCAGCCTACAGTGACAGCTGGCAGCCACAGGCCTCTTGGGGGCCCGCACCCCCTCCTGGATGGCGGGCCTGAAACTGCAGCTTACAGGCCCTTGGCTCCCAGATCAGCTCAGCCCTCCGTGCAGCTGCTAGCTAAAAGCTTTCATTAATTCACAGAGGGTTCTTCCTATGTTTTCATTTTTTATTTTCAAGATTTTCTATTCTTTCCCCAAATTTTCTTCTCTGGCACTTGTCGTTTTCTCTTTTCTGGCAAAAACTGGTGGGTGGGGCAGGAGGTTCCTGTGGAGGCCTCCCTGACCCAGGGGAGCCAGGGGCACGGGAGAGCAAGAGCACCCAAGACCTGTCCTCCCGGCAGCATGGCAGGTCAGGCTCAGACTGGGCCCTAGAGGAGAAGCAGGACGCGTGACCCCAGAAAGCCCCTCAGAGCTGAGCGAGCAGATGCAGCCCCTCCTGGGGAGCCAAGGCCCGGGAACCTTGACTGGAGGCCCCCATACCCTCCCCGTGTCTGGAGGGGCTGAGTCCTGCCCCATGGCAGCCCCCCGGGGCACGGAGGCGGTGGGGATCTCGCTCAGACCTCCCCCTGATGAAGGGGAAAGGGGGCAGTGGAGGGCCACGCCTGAGCCAAAACAGTCACCAAAAGACATCTCAGACCGTGTTACCCAGAAGCACTGTGGCTGGTGACCCCGCAGCCCCAGCCCTGAGACCACTACCACATCAGAAATAGGCCCAGGGCCCCTCCTGCCGCCATGACAGCCAGCACCCATTCTCCCCGAGGCAGACCGTAAAGGGGGCAGGAGACAGGATTTAGCTGTTTCTCTTTTTGTTTTTCCTTAGTTTTTTTTTTCTTTTTGCTTTTTCCCCCCTACCAAAAGGCGGTACTGATTGGCTGTTTTTCATCTTTGATGTTGCAGGCTAGCCCCTGCCGAGGAGGGTACAGCCGCTTCACCCCCTACTAGCAAGAGGCCCAGCCCCTAACAGCATTCACTGACTGCCTAGTACACACCAAACCCAGCAGTCCAAACCAGGCACAGCCACCCGGAGGACAGTGCACCCCTCCCGGTCAGCGACACGCACCACTGACCTCCATCCATAGGTTTTACCTCCAGCCAGCTGGTCTCCCCCTCGATGGCGTGTGTGTCTCTGACGTTGGTTACCCCCGTATGTCTGAAACCTTGGTTCCTATTTTCACTTTGTTGACGTTGTGCCCCCCAAGCCATTTCAGGTATGGTATGCACAGAGAGGGAGAGGCGAGGCTGGGCAGGAGACCCCTCCCCGAGAATTAGCAATAGAGCCCACGAGGGCAGCACCCCCTCCCCATCCCCCGGGTCTGCAGAGCCACAGAAGACCTCCAGCTGGCCTCCCCAGGAAGCCACCCCAGCCAGCCCAGGCCACAGCTCCCATCCGTCACCTGGGGTTCAGGGAGCGAGGGGCTCCTGTCCACCCCAGTTGGTGGGTTCCCGGGCACAACACTGCTCCCTTCCGACCCTCACCCAGCTATTCACGGCAGTAGCCGCCTCTGCCCTCCTCGCCCCTGTCCAGCTGAAACTAACATTTCTGATTAAATTTTGTTGATAATGTTTCCTGCCAAAGCAGTCACAAGCATGTCGTGGGGGAGCCACACCAGCCTCAGGGGTTTCTTAGCCTCTATTGTAACAGATGAAAGTGCAGGAAGAAATTTCCCTGCCCCGAGACCCGGTGAGGCCCATAACTATACTGCTTTGCAGTGCCTGAGGGCCCCTCCAGCCCTACCGGTCCTGCCAGCAGCAGGCTCTCCCCTCTGGCCAGATGGGGGCCCGGCCAGACTGACCCTGGTGTTTGCACAGCACCGCCTTCCCTTCCCAGAACTGGGACACATCTTTTTATCAGGGTACCTTTCAGGAGGGGAAGGCCGGAGTGGGAGAGCAGGTGGGGAGCAGGGCGATGCCCATGCTCAGGCCTTTCTGGCGGGACAGCGCTCAGTGTTAATCTCCCGTCTAGAGGCTCGGCACTTAGCCCTGCGGCCCTGTGGTCCCACGGCTCTGTGGCTGTGCAGGGCTCTGGGAGGAGATGCTGGCTGGGGCCTGCAGGTAAAACAGACAGCTTAGGGAGCTTCTGGAAGAGTCCACCCAGACAGGCCAAGGCCCTTGCCATGTGCCGGCCCCAGCACCTCCGTTACAGGAAAGTGTCACAGCCAAGGAAGCCCTGGTCTAAGCTGCCAGAGCTGGGCCTCCGGGGTGGACAGCTGGCTAGAGGATGTGGGGTCCCCATCAGCCAAGGTGTGATCCGCCACCCTACTCCACCGGCACATCAGTCCCTTGCTGGTGGAGTGGGAAGATCACACCCAGGGCCCCCGGCTCCTCACCTTCCGTTCCCCAGTGCACCGCCTTCTCAGCTGCCTCATTCCGGACCCCACATGGCCCGTGCTGCACCAGCCATCCACCACACCCTGACTCCGGCCCTCGTCCAGCCAAGCTAGGCAGGCCCCTGCCCTCTCAGCTCCTAGCAGAGTCCACTGGCGGTGTCTGCCAGCCAGGTTCACTGTGGTTTCTCCATTCCTACTGCCCCCAGTTCTTCCCACCACCAGTCCATGCCCTCGCTGCCCTGGAGGATGGAGGCCTGCCTTAAATTCAACAGAAAGCTGGGAGGAGGGGACAGGTTCAGGGATGCTAGGACTTTAGGGCCCAGGCCCTCCCTCCCACCCTGCACCTTGGGGTCGCAGGGTCCTGTCGCCCTCCCAACACGCCTGGCAACTGGTTGCTTCTGAGAAACTGCAAGTCCCCCCTTTCTGTTTCTGTTGTAGTGAAAGCTTCCAGCGTTTCCTTCTTGGACTATGAAGGGCAAAAAAAAAAAAAACAAACAAAAAAATCACAAAACAAAAAACAAAACAAAAAAAGATGTTACGATCCAAGCAACAAAAAACCAACCAAACCGAGAAGCATCCACCACGTCTGAGTCCCGCGTGCCGGCGCACACGGCAGCGAGGGAGCACGTCCACAGGGCACTGCGCCCACCAAGAGGGAGAGCACCCAGGCCTTGCCCATCCCCAGCTGGCAGTGCTGGTCGGAAGCGCCCCTCCCGACTCAGGCAGGGGGAGAGCAGGAGGGAAGGGGCCTCCGTTTTCTATCAAGTCTTCCTTTCCCAGCCCCCACGCCCAAGGCAGTGTGGGGCCAGTGGTGGAGTGGCCACAGGCCTGAGCAGGGAAGAGCAGGCCAACTGCCAGTGGAAGGGACGGCTGCGCCAGGCGGGCAGGGACGGGGGAGGGCAGCTTTCATTCCCAGGGGCTCCGGCCCATGCCCAGTCACCCTTGTGTTGTGCGCTCTGGGCCCCAGCTCCCCCTCATGCCATGCCACCAACACCCGTATCCTGCAAACCTGGTGAAGGACTTTGCAGGCCACTGGATGCTGTCCAACCAGCAGCCCTGGGGTCTGACCCCAACACCAAGGGCTGACGAGGTTCCAGAACCACGGGGCACCCAGGTTCCTCCCTCCACATGAGGGGGCCCTCGGGCTGCCCGGCCAGGATCAACTACGCATACCTAGGAGCATGGGAGGGTGGGGGCCCTGAGCCGAGGCCTCGGCCTTGCCCTGCCTGGCCATTTCTTATTCCCTTTCTGGAGGAGGCCCCGGACCTGGTCTGTGGGAGGGAAGGCCGACCTCACACTGCCTGCTGGGACAGCCCTCCTCGCCGCTGCCCTGTCCTGCAGGGAGCAGAGGGACGGAGCCGGGCCAGCGCCTGGCTGCAGGGTGAGGTTGGGAGTCACGGTGCTATGTGTCTGGACGGCCACACCACAGCAGGGAGAGCGAGGGTGGGAGAAAGACCTGCCCTGACCCCTGCTCCCAGGTCAGGCCCCGGGGTGGTTGGGGAATGGACGGTATGGACCAGCGAGAAGGCCCTGGCCGGGAGGAATGGCTGGAGTAGGAAAACAGCAAAAAATAAAAACACGGGCTCCCCACATGGCTCCACTGTCTCATGAAACTTCAGAAGTAAAAAGTACACCTCACTTTATATTCAGCATCAGCTCCTAAAACCAGTCTCCTTTTCTAGTCCTGTGTACATAGCCCCGCCCCGCCCGGCTTCGTCCTCTGTACAGAGCACCCCCTGCTGTCCTGGACCCTGTTCTCGCAGCAGCTCCGCCCCTGCCCCCACCCTCCCGGCCCCTCTAGGACTGCAGCCGAGCCCCAGACTTCCTTTCTTACCATTCCGTATGCTTCCAAGGTGTGACCATTCAAATCAACAGTATTATTATTATTAAGATTATTAATAAAGATTTCTTTCTTCAAACCAGGACAACTCTTTTTGATTTGGCAGCTCCCGGGCACAGAGGGTGGAGGGCACAGGAGGACCAGGATGCCCACGGGGTTGGGCCCAGGACAGGAAGCTTGTTCCCAGGATACAGCCTGCCCTCAGCTGAAGCCAGGTGGCCAGAGGGGAGTCAGAGGACTCTTCTGGGCGAGACATGCTAGAGTCTCAATCCTTTAGACTGTCCTCTCCACACCCCGTCCCAGGACAGACGTGGCAGGGCTCACGCGTGCTCCCCACAGCCTTGTCCTCTCTGCGGGTTTGTGAAGTTACCAGCAGATTCCAAGGGAGAGGGCAGCCTTGGCCCCTTCTCAGCACTGGGCACAGCATGCACACCCAGGAGGCAGAGGGGCACCCCGCCTGCCGAGGGGTGGCTACTCCACATGGGGGTCTGGCCAGGCCCAACCACACGCCGCCTGACGCTGGGACCTGCCGACAGAGTGTAGGAGAGGGGATAGAGCTGGGGACATCCTGGGGAAGCAGGACTGCTGCAGGGGCATTCGTCACTGGTGCTTGGGGACAGAGTCTTTTAGATCTCACCCACACTACCTGCTCAGCTGTGGTCCAAAGGAGCTGCTTCAAGGTAAGCCCATTACTCCAGCCCCTGGTGAGTCCCCCACTCCTGGACGGTTCGGGTGGGGGCCAGCAGCCATCCTCACCACCCCCCGGAAAGGAGGGAGAACCAGGAAGGGAAGCAGCAGATTCCAAACCAAGAGCTTCAAAGCCTCAGGCCTGGGGGCCGGGACAGAGGGCCAGATGCCAACACCGAGCTGGCGCTGCCTGTGACACATCTCACCAAGACTTGAGTTCTTCATCTTTCATGTCAGATAATTTATCTCAGAGCAATTACACCCACCAGAGGGGCACAGGCTTAAATGCTAACATATTAATTTTCCTGCATATAAGCCTTTACCGCCAGCGGGACCAGGGACCATGCTCTTGGGGAGCTGGGGTGTGATTCCACCACACACTATGCTCTGCTAAACCCCTGACTTCTAATTGCTTGCTCACCAGACTGTGAGAAAATAATTGCCACTATAAATTTTCCCTCCTCTGTATAAAATATTCGGGGGAACCAGCACTTTAAAAAAAACTGCTCCTCCTTCCAGCTGCACTGCCCCCACCCAACTCCACCTCTGGGGCCTGGAGGGAGCGGCCAGAAGCCCCGACCCCGTCCCCCATCCAAAACGAGACTCAAAGCGCTCTAGGGAATTCTCAAAACAGAGGCAAGTCAGATGAGCAGTTCCAAGTGGCAGCTGCTCATGTTCAGGCCCCCAACAGTCCACTGACTGTTCCAGACTCATCGGGAAAACCAGGTGCTGGGACCTGAGCGTGGGAGTCGGACAGCAGAGGGATCTTCCTGCCGCATGAGCCACCTTACCCTCTCCCGGGCAAACCTGTGCCCATCCCAGGCCTGAGCTGGCGGGGCCCCAGGCTGGGACATTAAGAGGGAAGCACTCTCCATTAGCAGAAAGCACAGGCCCCAGGCGTCCCAGGGTCTCACTGTAGCAGGCACATGGGCACCCGCGGAGGCAGGGAGGGTGGAGACAAGCAAATGTCAGCCTTGGAAGGAGACTTCCTCCGCAGTCCTACGGCTTCAGACATTTCCTGGCCCACCCCGTGCGCTTCTCCAATTCTCAAGGACTGGGAACAGAGCAAGAACAGAGGCGGTGTGGCCACACTGCCGCCTAGCGGCCTCTCCCCTCACTACAGCGTAAAACAAGTCCACTGACCCTGAACTGGGAACTGGGACTGGAGGCTGCCCCTGAGGTTGACCTCCAGCTAGGAGACCACTCCAGTGTCCTAGCCCTTAGCGCCCCTTCATATCTCGTAGCACAGGCGGAGGACAAGAGAAATGGGTAAGTAACCCCTATCACTGGCCTCCGAGGCCCAGGAGTGAGAGACTCCAAGAACGAGGGACTTAAGGCTTCTGACCACGTCAAAGGATCACAACACACTCCGCTCAGGCCTGGAGACCAGGATTACCCAAGGCCGTGGGGTCGAGACCCCTGCCCTGGGAGGCCACCACAGTGGCCCAGGTGTCAACAGTGGAGCTGTGTGGCTGGAGAAGCCGCCTCCAGCTCCCTTACCCCTGTCCTCCCCATGCAGAGCCACCGGCCAGCCTCAGCACAGGCAGGGAAACAAGGAAGGTGCTAGAAGAAAGAAAAGGAAGCGAGAGATGAAGAGGACCGCAGTGGGTAATGCCCCACAGCACCTGCCTTCGCAGCACCCCGCCCTGGAAGAGGCTGAGAAGGGAGGGCGTGAAGGGACAGCTGGCCCAGCGCTCCCACACCAAGGCTGTGGGCTGGGCCGAGGGCCTTCCTGGCCCAACCGGGCCTCCTGCTGCCCCAGTCTGGAGAGGCGGGGCCCAGGCACACAGACCGCCTCAGTGCAAGCTTTGCCCTGTACCTGCAACCCCAAAGAGACGTAGCAGGACACAGGGCCGATGGCAATGCTCCAGAAATGGCTCCGGCTCAGGGGGGCAGTAAATTAGGCAAGCTACAACTTGAGGTGGTCTAGACCACGGCGGCCCACCTTGCCCAGGTGGAGGTGCAACCTGGCGCCAGCCTGGCCCTGGGCTCCCACTCCTAAGGAGAAGCACCAGCACCCTGCAGGGGCCCGTTGCTCCTGCACCCACACCCCCGGCACCCAGGGGGCCTCTGCTCTCTCAGTCCACGCTCTCAGAGTCTACACCATTCTCAGCATCAGAACCTTCCAACCTATTAGGAAATATATATTAATAGAATTTTCTGCACTAAACTTTCCCAAATCGTTTCACTTTTACATGGGACTGTATACTACAGGGAGAGATTAGACAAAACCGGGGAGTGGGGAGGGCCCATTCACCTCAGGGAATTATCAACCCAGCAAACCAACTTCTTGGTTTTCCTATTACCAATGGCCCCCACGAAAAGCCACAGACTGCAACCTCCTGGGACCCGTGGCCCCTACCCCAGCTCTGGGGACCCACACACTTTGTGGCCCAGCGAGGAAGCAGCCTCGGCCTCGAGGCGGGAAGACTGTGCTTTAATGTCCGCTCACGAGCGGGGCGCAGAGTAGAGCATGGCCGCTCTGCCCCACTCAGCCTGTGGCACCAGAAAGCCCTCCTTGGGGACAGGCTCCACCAGGAACTCCACACGGCCATCCTGGCCAGGCCCTGCAGCTGCCACCACCAGGTCCACTACCCGATACTGGTTGACAAAAGCCAGGCCCAGGAGCGTGGGCTTCTCTGGCCCCAAGGGCCCCCTGTTGGGAGAGCAGCCGGCTGTCCCCCTGCAGCAGTGGATCCGGAAGCATCGGACGTGAGAGACGAGGTAGGACCAGTGCAGGGTACAGCTGAGCTGGAGCCCGGCAAGGGGCGCCTCCCCGTCAGAGGTGGCCCGCTGCCAGCACACATGGGAGATAGTGACAGCCTGCACCCGGGGTAGAGGGGTCAGCAGGCTGTTGGCGTCCACCACCTGGCAGGAGAGAGAAGGCTCAGCACAGCTGGGAAGCCAAGGGAGGTTCCGGGTGCCTGTCCTGCTCATTCCCACTCCCCAGGACCCCCACCCCAATTCCCCTCCAACCCGGGGAGACAAGAGGTGGGTGCTCAGCTCGGGGTGGCATTCCGCCCCTTCTGCAACGAGACAGACACCTCAGCCGGAGCCCCAGCGAGCTGCCCTTGGATGCCTCACCTGGATCTCTCCAAGGCGACAGACAAAGTCCATCTCCTCCTGGCTGCCCAGAGGCCGTGAGAAACTAATGAAGAGGTCCTGCAGGAGGCAGCCCTGCAGGTTCACTTCGTAGCAGCTGGGAGAGGCAAACAGAGGCTGGTCACAAGGGGCCTCAGCTCGACACCTTCAAGGCTGGCTGTTCAGAGGCCCCGAGCCACGGCGGGAAGGGAGCTCCATCCCAAAGTGGACCCTGTGGTCAGTGGGAAACCCCAGACCTAAGGCATGACTACGACGGCTCCCAGCGAGCGTCCTGGCTTGTGTCACAGAGCTACCTGAAACCAGGGGTCGGCCCAGGGCCCCTCCATCCCTCCAGTTCTGGGGTTTCTTAACAGAGGGCCCCTCACTCCTCAAGTCTCCACCACAGTGTGGCCATCCTCTGCTGGGGACTCAGTAGGAAGGAGAGGGACTCACCGCTGGACCCAGCCCCCGCTGAACTGCTGGCCGCAGCGGCCCACCCATCTGGCCAGCTTGGTAGGGGGCACCCGGAGGGGTCGGGGGCTGTACCTTGAGCTTGTTTCTGCTGGAGAAGGAAACATGGGACTTGAGAAAGAGGGGAATCCACAGGAAACCGCGCCGGGAGGTGTCCACTGAACAAGACTCCCTGGTGGCCCCAGCGCTCGGGAGCCGCCAGGATGGGCTGAGGCCCCAGGGGAGGAGGAGGGGTGGAGAGGAGAGCACGCAGACGGATGCCCGGGACTGGAGACGGCCCCACCCTCCGGTCCCTCGGACGTCCTCCCTCTCAGTGCCACGGCCGGGAGGAGGCCAACCCCTGGGTCTCTGAGGGAGTGTACGTCCACTCCATACGGCATGCTCTGCTGCCCAACAGGGGCTGCGGGCCGGAGGTTTCGGCTGATGAATCTCCCTGTCCAGGCCTGGATCACACCGGCGCCGACAACAGCAGAGGCAGGATTTGCTGACAATGCCCACACCAGCTCCCCAACACTCCCATGCACCTTTCTAGACTCCTCTTCCCCGAGATATCCCCTGAGAAGGGCGAGACCTGCAAGGAGAGGCAGGAGCCAACCCCGTCCCCTCACCGTTCAAGGCTGAGATGCCACCAATGTGACAGCTGCCCGCACTCCCTGTGGTGAGCTCCAGGGCCACCCCGACGCCTGAAGGCCCTTCGAGCTTGTACACCATGGACAGGAAGACTTTGGGTGGCACCGGGACCTGCAGGGAGAATAACCTGGAGGGGGAAGGTCCTGATATGAGGTCCCCAAGAAAGCCCGCTGAGACCCCCAAGCTGGTCCAAGTTGCAGCCACCAACCTCGCCCTCCAGGAAGGGGAGTTTGGGCAGCAGGGGCTGTTGCACTCGGGTCCTGCTCACCGCTGGGGACAGCCCTCCCCCAAGGCCAGATCCTTTTGTGGCTGAAAAATCTTGGTTCTTAAAATCTATGAGATTCCCCGTATAGGAGGAATCTAAAGTAGTCAAACTCACAGAGACAGAAAGTGGAGTGTGGGTGTCAGGGCTCGGGGAGAGGGTGGGAGCTGTTCAATGGGGACAGAGTTTCAGTTTCGCAAGACAAAAAAGTTCTGGAGACTGGTTGCACCACCACGTGCAGACAGTTAACACTACTGTGCTGTACCCTCAAAAATGGTTAAGATGGCAAATTGTAGTATGTGTTTTTTACCACAATGAAAAAAAACATCTCAGTCCTGTCGTCTGTTCTCATTTTGGCCTCTGCTGCCCATCTGCCCAGTTCAGCAACTGACATGGATGATGGGAGAAGCTGACGACCCGCCACGTCTCGTCTCCACTCACTCACCTACCTCACAGCCACATCTCCAACCTCGGGCGGAATGGCCCCCCGGATAAGCAGGGAGCTGCCCCCATTCCAGGCGTCCGCCAGGCAGCAGTGCGTCTTCACCCAGCCCCGTCCATCCCCCTCCAGCCTGTGCTCTCCAAACAGGGGCTGGATTTCCTGGGCGCTCGGGTGGTACCAGGGCCCCACCGCCTCCTCCTGAAGGAAAAGAGAGGATTAGAGGGAGGGCTGGGGGCAGACGAGCCTCCACATTCTCCTTCACACACCCCAAGGCCCCTCCCACCTCTCCCAGCTGAGGCTGGAAGATGGGGAGAGGAGGCAGCCACATACCACGACGCAGACCACCAGGAACCCCACTGCCTCAATCACCCAGCGTAGTGACCCACACACCTGGCCATAGCAGACTCTTCGAGTCCCCATGCCCAGGCAGAAAGAAGTGACAAAGGGCAAGGAGCAGATGCTGTGTGTGGGCAGATAGCGTTCCAGCAAACTCCAGAACCTGCAGAGAAACACGCAGAGAAGCAGCTCTAGTCCAGAGCAACAGGGCTTCAACATTCCTTGACCTCGCTCCTGGTAACCTGGGGCTTTCCGGGATCCCTTCCAGTGACTGCAGCTTCCACACAGGAGGAAGCAAGTCTGCCGGAAGTGGTCCCTCAGGATCCCCAACCTCCGTCCTTCCTGCTTAACTGGTCTCCAGGACACTCCCACCTAGAAGCAGCCAAGGTGGCTGAGCCCTTCGTCCTGCCTTAACCACCTCCAGAAAGGTCACTGGAGAGCAAGTCCTGAGCTACTACTGCAAGAAGTCAGAGAAATCGCCGGAGACCCCTCCCTGCCATGAGCCCATGCTAAGCCCTTGGGACAGGCAGGACTCACTTGTCCTGGTTCTGGAAGAAATCCTTCTTCTCCAAACACTCGTACACCCAGCCAGGAGCAAAGAGAGCCACCGAGAATCCATGCTTCCGGATCAGCTCCAGTGACTAGGGAGACAGCAGTCAGAGAGATGCTCCCACCCCAGCAACGCTGGGCACATCGGGACACAACCAGTGTCCAGACACAGGGGTGGGTTCTCTCGGGGGCCAGCCTGGAAAGGGCAGGCTGGAGCTGGCAACTACTGCCTCCCAGCTCCACTTAGAGCTTTTAGGATTCATCCCCTGTAGTTCCACAGCCAACCAGAAGAGGGCGCTATGGCGGTGGCGGGGAGAAGAGTGGAGGGAAACGTCCGAGTGGGCGGGAGTCTGCAGGTGGGGCACGTGTCTCTCTCACTACACCTCTCCTTATATTATCAGACTCACAATGGGTGGAGGGGATCTTCAGTTATTGGATTAAGCTATTCACTTAAAGCGTAATTAATGACTGAGAGCGTCCTGTGGCAGCGGGATGTGGCGGGATCGGCAGCCCAGGAGACAGGCTGACTCCCTCTTTATCCGGCACCCTCCTCCTCCTTTCTCACTGCCGACACACCACCACACGACCGACCAGCCTCGCCAGGAAAGCCTCACTTGATCTCACACCAGCAGTTCCCAAAACTGTGGGGGGTTCACTAGGTCCTCGGCCCTCCGCCACCCGTGACAGAAAGCACCACCCGGGAATGGGCCTGATGCTGGAAACCGCGAGCTCCGCGCCCTTCGAGGTTCGCAGTCTGAGGCAGGAAGAACCAGCTAGAGAGGAGACCAGCGGTCTGTCCTCTAACACCTACGTAAAGAGTACCCTCTGACTAGAAATGGGCTGGAAGTTATGATTTTAGGGCACGGCTTGGCCTGAGGGCAGGTCACTGGTATTTCCCCTGGTGCCTCAGTTCCCCACTCTGGGAAGAATAACCGCCACCCGTCCTTCCCTTGAGGTGCAGATGGGAACGAAAGGCCCGCCACAAAACTAGGCCCACAGAAGGCACTGCCCACCCTCCCAGGCACAAAGGCCACCACCCACCTTGTCTGTGTCAAATCGGCCCCCTACGACATTTCCCCGGGCGAACACGTCCACGCCCACGTACACGTCAGCCAGGCGCTCCCCAGCCTGCCCCAGCATACGCTCCAGATGCTCCTCCTGCCAGTTATAGTTGGTGAAGAAGCCATCACAGGAATTGAAGAAAACCCTGGGAGGCACCAAGGACTAGCCGTGAGGACCAGGCCGAGGGATCGGGAGTGCCCATCCCGCAATCTCAGCCTCCTTCCCCCGCCCAGCACTTGCATCCACTCATAACCCAGACTGCGGGCTGCCTCCAGGACCCAGACTAGAGTCTGCTCCCAAAAAAGGGACCAGCCCAGCACGACGGGCTGACAAGGCACTGATTCTGCCTGTTGACAGTCGGGCTGCGAGATAATGCCGCCTCCTGCCTCTTTTCAGCCAAGGCAGTCAGACACGCAACACCCCAGGAGACACATGGAGCTCCCGCCTCTCTGTGCCCAGAGGGTCCGCCGGCCACACCTGCAGGCCCACCTGTTGTGGTCGTTCAGTTCATCTTGCCATTTGAGGTGCCCACTGCTCACCACACTGTCATACCAGAGCACCAAGCCCCCTGGGACCTGCTGGTGTAGCTGAGTGGTCAGGTACTGAAGGAAATGGGGCATGTTCCCCACTGCAGCCAGCTGCAGAGAGGGATGAAGACAAGACCCTCAGTGAGGCCCAGAGATATGTGTCATGAGGAGTGCCTGGCTCAGGACAGACAGGACACTTAATCCCAGGTGCAAACAGATCCACCAAAAAAGTCACGGTCCCAGAAGCCCTTCAACCCCCCAGCCACCGAGCAGAGGGTCCAGCCAGATCCAGTGCAACTTTCCTTCCTTTCTGAAGCAGAAAGGACACGGGCACAGCAATCAGGAAAAGATAAAACACCACGACAGGGGAGGGTGGTGTGAAAAGGAAGCCACACACACAGCGCAAGCAAAGCAGGGATGCAGAAGGACAGGTGTTGCCTTGAAGGAGCCGGAGAAGCAAAGCTCAGCCTAGCGGGGTTTCTGGACACAGCGCTGGAGAAGCTTCCATCTCACTGCCAAGTAACAGAGACGTTGGAGCTGGCTCCAACTGGGAAGCGAGAAGTGGCTCCTGCTGCTGTAACAGGGAGCCAGCCCGGACACAGGCCCAGGTGAGGCTGAGGACAGCGGTGGAGGGACACCACATGGCAGCAGGGGCGGGGCTGGGCAAGTGCCAAGAGAGGGCCCTGCTCACACTCAGAGAGTTCTCAATGTTGATCAGCCAGCCGTCAAATCGGAAAAACTGGGCGATCAGGACCAGCTGATCAGCCACCGCCTGGTACGAGCGCTCGTCCCCGGCCAGGAAGGCTTCGCAGAGCTGCCCGCCTTCTTTCCACTCGGTAATGAAAGTGCCTGTGAGGACAGGAGAGAAACGAGGTCAGGCATGTAATCCTTATCCCTCCGACCCGGCAGTTCCCACAGTGTGGTTCCTGCACCAGCAGCACAGGGACTGCCTGCAAACTTGCCAGACAATTTGAATTCTCGGGCCCCAGCCCCAGATTTCTAGTGAATCAGCACTGATTCGGACACAGGCGGAGGCTTGAGAAGCACTGCTCTACCCAGGGGTCAGCCACCTATGGCCTGCGGGCTATGTCCAGCCACCACCTGTTTCCGTAAATACAGTTTTACTGGAACACAGCCATGCCATTTGTTTGCCTATTGTCCGTGGCTGCTGTTGTCTCACTAGCAGTTACAACAGGCACCCAATGGCCTGCAAAGCTGAAAATATTTACTACCTGGTCCTTTCCAGAAAAAGTTTGCCCACGCCTGTCTTAACCCATCAAGGCAGCCCCCAGGTGAGGAGTTCTCCTCATTAAGAAGCAGACAAAGCCCGAGCCATTTCATCACTGGGTCACCTGGGAGGTGTGCTAAGTCTGGCTGAGTCAGATGGAGGAGTCCTTGGCTCTTACCCAGCACAGAGACTCCATGCCTGTGGGCAGCATTGGTCCAGCCTACTGGGGGGATGGTGACCGTGTGATGGCTGAAGTACACAAAGATGTCAATGTACTGCCAGTGGTAGAAGGAATAGGGATTCTGCACTGCTGAGCCCTGAATAAACCTGAGTAAAGAAACAGAAACAAAAACAAAACAAAGTCAGGACCCAGGAAACAGAATAAGGAGGCAGCGACCTCAAGGTGAAAAGAGAGCAACCTGAGTCAGGTTTCTCTTCAGTTCCCTTAGATTGGCACTAACTGAGAGCTTGCTGTGTACCAGGCACTACGCAGACACTGGGGCAAGAAGTAGGATTGAGCCACAGTCCGCACAGCAAAAGGACGAGTCTTAAGGGACACATTTTCACAGGCTGTGCAGGCACTCGCCACTGGATCCGGATGGACTGAGCCTTTTTAGCCTCAATGAAAAGACAAACAAAGGACGGAAGGAAAGACAAGCAGATGGACTCATGCAAAAGCTCCAAGCCTTGGCTCCCCCACCCTCTTCAGAGGTGAGCAGTTCCTCCAGGACACAGCCTCCCTGCACGGAAGGTTAGGGTTGATAACCACAGGAGCTGCACTGAGACTTCATCACCTGCCCCTGTCTGTACCTTGACGGCCACCTCTGACTCAGGCCATCAATCATCACCATCACACAATGACATCAATCATCAAAGCCAAGATTGTTTTATGGACATGTAAAATCTCTACTCTGACTCCACAGCAACTCTGGAGGTCATGTCCCTGCTGGGAGGGGCAGGGGGAGTGTAACACCTCTGAGCATCAGAAGCCAGAGCCAATGGCCCCGAAATGGAACTGGAGCTTAACTGAGGAAGGTGAAGAAATCAGGTACGCGCCAAGTTCCCCGGCCAGGCAGCCTGACGAAAGCGCCCTGCTGCTGCGCCCTCTCCCGTCTACCAGATTTCAAGGATAGGCAGTCCTCAGAATCAGATGGTTTCAGAGCCAAAAGAGGCATGAACTATCACCTAATTCTTACAGAGGAAGCACCCAGGCCTGAGCTCCTCTCCCTGCTAGTGGCGGTCTGGTCCCGCGCCCTGTCTCCATCCCGTGTTTCTACACAAGGCACTCTCCCTCTCCTCCCACCAAAAGAAAATAAGCAACAAAATAAGGGTCAGGCAATGTCCTCACTTGTCATCCAGGTACCCGCCCATCATGTCATGGCACAACAAGGTCCGGGGCCTGTGGCTGCTTAGAGGAGGCTGGCGACACTCGGAGGGCTCCAAGGCCACGTTAAAGCCGTCCTCCATGTTGGGCGTCCATGCCAAGAGCTCCTCCAGCGACGACAAGTAAAAGCTGATGGGCTTGGTGGTGTCCTTGTCATAATATCTAACTGGTCAAAGGAGGCAAAGAGTGAAGAATTAACGGAAATCTGGGGATTCATAGAAATGCTCTGACAATAACTGAGCTAGAATGAGAGGGGGAGCGAGTAGGCAGCCCAGAAGCCCCCAGAGTGAACACGGAGACAGTGCTCAGAGCCTCCATCCTTCTCACCTGGCAAAGGATCGGGGGTAAAACTGACCACTTCATGAAAGACTGCTTCCTCTTGCTCCTCTTCAATTCTAAGGAAAGAGGGGGTTTAAAATTTTTTCTAAATAAAAGGGTAGAGAATACTCCTAAAAGCAAACGGACTAGGCCCCATCTGGATGTGCAGGGGGAGATAGTTTCTGCCTTGCCTTTTTAAATGCAAACTGTGGAAACATGGATCAAACCAAAGAGGCTAGCAGGCGCTGGTCTTCCAACAGCAGCCCGTGTTAGCAACAGGGCTCAGCCTCTGCTCAGACATACATGCAACCACTATCCACTCGTTGGGAATAAACTCCTTACCCTCCAAGACAGCCACCAGACATCACCCTGCAGAGACCAAAGATACACACTCCACAGGTTGTGCTATGGCCAAGGGGCAGGAAAACTCAAAGAACTAGAAAGTTTAAGGGCCTAAGGGAGCAGGGGCCAAGCTTTCTCTGCAGTCCATGTTTCCCTAACTGCGTTCCATGGAACCCTCACTAACTCCCAGCTGCTCACGGAGGTCTGTCATGGGGAGAAGGCGCCTTTGGGACATCACGTTGGAAGACCCTGGATAAATCTAAATTAAGCAGCTTTTTTTTTTAATTATTACTATTACTTTTAGAGCAGTGAGAAGACTGTGCAGCCGCATTTATTGGTCCCGGGCTTCAAAGGTGACATTCCCTAAATCTACCAACGTCCAAGGCCACCTCTTGGTTAATGGGGGTATCATCTGCCAACACCCCACTTCCACTCAGAGGCCTGTTGACACAGCCCACTCTTTGGGATCCGCTATGCCTGAACCTTTGGAACCCTGAGAAGTACAGCCGTGGGTGGCAGGGATGAGATGGACTAACGTGCAAGGGCCACCGAAAATGCTCCTTTCCGAATTTCATTCCACCACTCTCTGCTTCCCCAACAGCCAGCAGCCATTTGCTTTCCACTCTTGACCGGACTGAACTGGACCAGTCTCACTCTTTTGGGTTTAAAAACAAAGCCAGGGATGCTGTTTCCAGAAGGCCATGTCTGTCCTCCTAACTTCCGAGAGGTAAGCAAATGTCCCGACAAGGAACAAGGCCCAGGACCAGAAAGGCATGCTCCTCCCTTATATGCTTCTGTGCCTTTGCCCATTCTGTTCCCTCAAACTAGAACACCCTCCTCCCCATTCTCCATCTGCTGAAATGTTCCTCCTCCCTGAAGACCCAGTTCAAACGTCCCCGCTCCGGGCGCCACTCGCTCCGGTCCAGCATGGATTAGAATAATCCTAATTACACCAGCTGGCCCCCAATGAGCAATTACAAACGCCACACTAGGACCCTCTGCGTAGATCCACAGCCAGGGGAGGAAGGAGGCATTATCAACCCATTTCACAGATGAGGACGCCGAGGCTTCCCGCCCAGGCGCCAGGATTCGCAACCGTCCCGCTGCTCTGGGGTCGCACCCCTGTACCGAGCCCCTGTCCGGCGCCCGCTGCTGCTCGGGAGTCTGTTCTGGGGAGGGGCTGGCTGCTGACGGGGCGGGCGCGGTGGCGTGAGCAGGACCCGCGGCGGACAGGAGGCGTGGGAACCGGGGACCAACGTCCTGCGCCCCCAGCCCGCCCCCGCGCCCCGGGCCAGGCGCCCACCGACTCCGTCCCGCCTGCCCGCCGCGCGTGGGAACGGG